TATATTCGTAGTCTGTTGAGTGTTTTAGTAGTTGTATTTATTTGATCGTTCTGCTCATTCATTATATAAAAAAACCAATAGTCAATAGTGTGGAAATGTGTGTAGTTGAAGAAAATACCGATAGACCCATTTCCAAAGTCAGATCCTTAAAATGTTATCTTTGTTTTTGTTGTATCTATTAGATGGTACAAAAAACTGTACCCGTGTTGAACACTATTCTGAGTATAGATTTAGATGGGTGTATTTTATTATATTATTAATAACGTAATCAAATCAATAACTAAAGATTGTTGTAATTTGTCTATTCATCTCGATATAGTAGAATATGTTGAATCCATACTACCATCACGATATGTCGGATATTGTCGTAATCTTCGTTTTTTTATGAATTGATAGATAAAAATAAGTCCTGTACAACAGATACATATCATTAATAAAGTTATAAATCCTCCAGCAATTAAAATCATCCAATCTTGTATTCCAAAACCTGCATCAATTGATATTTATATCAACATAAACATGATGAATTCTTCTACCTAATATTGTAAATTTGTCTACATTTGGCAGCATAGAAGTTTCTTCATCAGCTATGTACATAAAATATAATAATTACTTCTTCAATTTATATATATATATATACTAATCCTAATTTAGTTTATGATTTTTGCAATCAACAACTCACCATTCAATTGTAACTCTTGTGGTAACTCAAAATCAACTATAAAACAAGAAACTATTGAAAATTTATTTAATAAAATCTAGACTTACATTGATTTACATACATCTGTAATTGTAAAGCTTGATTTAATGCAAGGACAGCTTCAAGAGCTTCTTTGTTTTCTTTATCTTTTTGTTTTTTATGATCAATAATACACCATATAATTATAATACATTTCAAAAAGTTCAATCTTTCCATAGTACTTTCAACTAATTCTTTTTCAGTCATTGCTTTCTCTAGATAAACAAATGATATTTATATTGAACAATCTTTCATGTTAACTTTGACATATAAATGGATGTTTTTCTCTACATGATACTCGTTTCAGACATAACGATTGATTATTTGAACGTATTGTTAATATTATACAATTTAATTGAAGATCTTCAATTGTTGTACTTGTACTATCACATAAATCATCTTTTGACCATTCTATATATACACATATATGTTGTTGTAGGTCAATTTCGGATTTTAGTATGGTCGAATTCACACTTCAAGTTGACTTCAAATCATCAATCCAATTCAAGACTAACTCTTATTAAATCAATGGTATAACATGGGAATATTTTGTCGAGAATGTGGATGTAGGTTATTTCATCACTCACATCTTGATGTTCGTTTTTATAGAAGTTTCAAAAAAAACTATATTTTGAAATTTTAAATTCATACTATGACAGGAGATATTCAAATATTTTTTATCACAAAGCTACTTATGAACTATCCTGTATATATATCGATCAATAAATTTCTATGATTATCTTTCTAGCATTTCCAATCCATGCACCTCGTTGAATATAATCTAAATAGATTTGATCATCATATTCTAATTCATGAATTTTTTTTTGAACTGATTGAAATTTGATTGAATTCGAAAAAGTTAAAAGTTGTGCAGAACTTGTTTGACATGCTTTATAACCATTATACCATGATACATCACCTGTTTGTGATGTTGCAAATATAACACAAATTGAGGATGTGGGTGTGGGTGTGTGGGGTGTGGGTGTGCGTGTGTGGGGTGTGGGTGTGCGTGTGTGTATGTGGTGTGAGTATGGGTGGGTGTGAGTGTGGGTGTGGGCGTGGGCGTGAGGGTGTGGGTGTGGGGTGCGGGTGTGGGCGTGTGGGTGTACAGTTGATCTAAACCAACCACACCCATACCCCACACTCTCACACCCACCCACACCCCACCCACACACCCACACCCACCCACAGCCACCCACACCCCACAGCTACACCCCACACCCACCCACCCACACCCACACCCACGCACACCCACCCACACCTCACACCCACACCCACCCACACCCCACACCCTAAAATATCTGGGAAACTCTCATTTTTCGATCTAAAAGATCAAAATACTTGGAAAAAACATGAAAAAACCATTAATTTTTTCATTAAAAAATCATCGTATTGACCCTTTTTTTCCATAAAATGGCGCGTGTGAAAAGTCGAAAAATATATGGATCGATAGAAAAAAAGATGCTCTTTCTTTTGGCAAAAGTCAATACTATATGAATTTGCCAAATAGTAACTTGAGTTTACAATATATTAAAAAGTATGACAAAATGGCTATTTTGTATATAGTTCTCTAAGAGCTGTTAACATGATGTATGGCATAATTTAACAAAGGATGATAAGATCAAGCTAATATTTTAGATTTAGTAGTATTTATATGCGACCTTTATTTTAAGATAAGTAAATCTAAAATCAAAAATTTTTCTCCAGTCATGTACCCATTTCCTGCGTGGTTTTCTGATGGTCTCTCTCTTAATCCTCCGACCATTGATTATTATAATGTTACTCTACAAATGCTAGTCAGCTGTCTGACAAGAATAGGAGTCTTATTCAACAAGAGAAAAAATATTTAATACAAGAAATAAAACTGTGAAGACCATTTATATGTATACGTGTTGGTATTCTTCTCTCAAGTAGTTTATTTCAGAATACAAGTACTACAAACTTAAAAATAGTGAGTGTTACACCCTAATTGTCTCTATAAATCTCATCGATATAGAAAAGTACTTAAAGTATAGCATACATAAATTTCAAAGGAGAAGGTAGCCGTCTTTCTCGCTTCACTTCTAGATCTGACCTCGAATATCGATTAAAAATTATTCTGATAACAACAAACTGGCCTAATTCAAAACTTAATTAATTTCATTATAACTAGCATAGTATTTAAATCTACCCGACACGTAAATCTGCTCACAATTTAATTATCAAATAAGTTTAAATGAAAAGGAGCATCCTATAAGTACATGCATATGTCTGCTCATATCTTACCTATTAAAATGTTTGTTCGTAGCATTTTCAACTTTATATTGCTGTTCATACGTAGGTGTTCGGAAACAGTATTTTCTAAGAAATATCATAGCCCAATAGATATGGGAAAAAAGTTCTCCAGCTATTGTTAGGCACGACTGCATTGTGTCGTGCTCATTGAGTAAAGAGTGTGAAGCTTAGTGTCCTGTAGTCGGGTCGGATACCCGGCATTCAATCTGACCCGAAGCCTGGGCCCAGCTATGAACTTGCCGACTTGATTCGGATGCTGGCTATAATAAGGTCGATCGGGTAGAGAAATTTGAAAAAACTCGCCGCCCGACCCGGCGGTTAATGACATTTGAATTTGTAATTTTACTTTCTAGGATTGTTATTGATCACAGAGAAGCAGGAGTTAAAAACGATTCGACCATAATTTAGTAATTTACAAAACACTTATATGGGGAAAGGGTTGGAGCAGTGACAACTTGTTCGTCGATGGTCTATGCATTCTGCTCGTTTACCAAAGTAGTTTGACTCGGCAAACCGATCCTCATGACTCATGTTATATTTGCTCATTGTTTTATATGCTATATGTTTGTGCTTTGTTTTAAGACCTCCTCCTTCAAAAATCGATCTCAGACCAGGAACATCTAAATAGAATGAAAGTTTCAGGATGTTAGGACTGGTTTGAGAGAGACATGGTAAAATTTTCAGCCTTATACCATGACATTCGACAGTGATATTCGTCAAACAAGGGTCAAAAAAGCTCGATTGTATCTCCAAGAATTTTCTGTGAATCTTCATTCTATACATCTAAATATTTTTTTCTTTCAAAGTTTGTATTTTGGGCTAGCCCATCGCGTGACTTTTTTTAAAAATTTTTGCCTTTCAAGCGAAGATAAGGGATAACAAGTTCAATGGCTCAAAAAATCCCTAAAAAATGGCGCCGTTTCTACAGAGGTATTTTCTTATATCATAATAAAAAACCTATTTTAAAAAGAGCGACGAGAGGAGCCAGCCCTCAACATGAGCTTTTAAACCAAAAAAAAAATTACTGGCTACAATGAAGCTCCTTCGAGAATTCTTGGAGATACGATCGAAAACCTATAAAACGAGAAAAAATGAAAAAGATTTTTGATTTTTTTTTCAAAAAAACAGCTTATTTTTCGAATAAAGAATGACGGAAATCTTCAAAAATCTCTCATAAAAACAAAGTGCCGAGTAAAACTTTTTGTCATTTATGAGAGACCAGAGCACGGACTATCTTTCCCTGTATTTATCTTAGTTTTGATTATCCTGCCGAAAAGTAACTTTTTTCAGGCGCCTTAATCACTTTTCATGCTTCATAAGCTACTAGTAATCAGTATCATGTCTCTGTACACCCTATCATGGGTAAAGGGTTAAATAAATCGCAAATAAGCAACGGCTTGTATATGAAATAAAACTTTGAAAATTGTTTATGACTGCGAAAAAATTTCTTAAAGGTCGACTGCGTCTGGGCGGGTGCGGGGTACAGTCATCCCAGTCTGGTTCAGTTCCAGGTGTAAGACGGTCGGATTCAGATGGATTCCGGATGCAGAATGTTGCACCCGTGCAGAACACTAGTGTGGGCTTGTCGAGTTCCTGGTAGAAAAGATTTTAGGACGGTAATCGCCTTCGCTACTGTTTTCTAACTGCTAGCCCTACCTCGGTGTTTAGGCATGATCCGCATCCATACAACACAGATTATGTTAACAGGTTTCTTTTCTAGTCCTAATTTTTTTACTCTGTGAATTCTAACAAAACGTATGCCATATTATATAATGCCGCCAAATAACTCGACTTATAAACGTCATTTTAAAGGCTTTTTCCTACAGAACTTTTTTTTGTCAATCGCATCATCCTATCATGTGTGATTTTTTCCATATATACACGACTTTGGTTCAATCAAATACAAAAACAAAACAACACTTTTTTCTTCATTTTAATATGCTCATTCTTTATAAATCAATTTTATTTAAATAAACATTAATATGAATCAGAATATTTCCGTATGAGGAAAATAGTTTTTGACATGTTTAAAAATTCGAATAGGATCAATAGATAAAGACTTCAGTTTTTGACAATTGATTCGTGTTGCATCTCTTGTAAAATTATGTGTCACCCTTTCCAAGGTTTGATAAGTGACGTTAAGATGAACATTATTCGGTAAACATGTTTTCGTATCAAGTAGAAATTGTTCAACATAATCATCATGAGATCTATTAAGTGTAAGACTAGCAAGATGAGGATATTTAATAATGGATAAATCTTGATTGTCATTTTTTGATTCTTTACATAATTTGTTATTTTGTGGTTTATAATTGCGTAAAGCCAATTTTTGCATAAATGGAAATGATTGAGAAATTCGAAGGAAAAATTCATGTTCAAAAGGATGTACATCAAATAATGATATTTCACGAACACATTTGAATAATCCACCCGAAAAATTATTTGTTATATACTTATAAAATTTTGATTTATATGGATATGAATAAATAAGACATTTGCTACTTTGTTGTTCTTGAAAATAATCGAGGCAAGAAATGATATGATTATTTTTAAAATCACGAAATGTATTTTGTATATCTTCATTTGATGGTAAATTAATTTCATTATGAAGATGAAGAACTGAACGAATATTAAATGTCAATTTGTCTAATCGTAACATATGATTGATAATATTTTTCTTCAAATCATTTCCATCAACAAATGTTTTTTTCATAGAAAGAGAAAGATTTAAATCGAGTTTTTCTAAATTTGACATTCGATATAGAAGTGGTATAATTAATTCATCATAAGCATCTGTAATGTTATAAGAATGTAGCGAAAAACATCTTAAATTAGGTAATTTTTCCTACAAAAAAAATAATATGAACTACGTAGGTCGAATACATTAAATATTAATCAAAATAATTTACCTTATTATTAAGTTTTCGACCAAAAACGGAAATGTAACAAATATTAACATGAAATGTGCGAAGTTGATTGAAACGTCCATCAAGTACATAAAGACAGTCGATGAAATTTCCCAAAGAGACATGCAAGTCTAAGAGATTTGAGGAGATAAAAGTTGGAGATGAATTCGGAAATGATAAAGATTTATTGTAACTTGAAAATGGATTGAAATTTAAATATTGTAAATTGGTATATGTTATAAAAATATGTGTAAATAAAAATATATTGACACCTTCTATTGAAATTTTATTTTTATTTTTAGTTATATCGATAATAAATGATGTTATTTGATTTATATATATATGAATTAAAGAATATTCATCTAAATACAATGATGATGAAAATATTTTTTAACAATTATTTTTATAATTAAAGCAAAATATTGTTTGTTTTTCTTTTTTAGCAATTCTATAATGTACATGTGTGATCTTCTTCTTTACAATTGTTCAATAGAGTATGCTATGTAGAGCATGTCTTGCTTCGAGTCTCAGAGCTCTGTTTGATGAGTCCGAATCGGGGTTTCGATGGTTGTTACTTTAAAAATCGAAATCAATGACTACATTCTTGTACGAATACCGCCAAGATATCGTAATAAATGTGTTTCATATACTGATTGCTGAATCTAAAATAGCAATAAGTGTGCCGTATTTTCACTTCGTCTATCAAGGCGGATTAGAAAAATTTGATTAAGAATATGAGTATCGACCGGGTCGTGTGCAAAAATAAAGTCTGATCAACCGGATCTGTCTCGGAAAATAGTTCAATATGGTACCGGTCTAAAGTTTTTGAAGTCGATAGGCTCTAATGCCATATCATTCATGTTACATTTTATTTTAACCACTTATTTTATTCTAGTTTCTTCTTCTTTTTATTAGGATCAATGCTTAAAGTTTCAATATAAGCGATTGTTTTTCACTATTAATTTTCTTCTAATTCATTTCTATCGAGAATAGTAAATTCGAAAATTATTTTTTCAAACATATGCATTGATCTAAATCAATTTGTTAGATGCCTATATATTCAAAATAAATCATTTTAATTTTCATCTATATTTTGTTTTTATTAATGAATGAAAGAATTAAAATGTCTTACGAACAAAGAGAGATTGAGCTGTTTCTAAGTCAATGTCCAATAAACCAAGTCCATATAAATTTGGATAATTTGCAGCACGAAGTATACGTTCCATAGATGATGATTCAAGATCAAGTCATTTGATTTGACAATGAATTTCAGGTAAAATTTGTGCACAAAATCGATCAATCGTTGAATCAGGTAAGGGACATACGGAATCATCTAACAAACATCTCATCAATGTTAAATGACTTGTAAAAATTGGATCACGTACAATTGTGTTGAGTCGTTTATTAACACCTATTAAAGAGTAACGTAGTGACACATTCTTTAATTTTGTAAAAATTATCAAAAGAATTTCATCTGGTAAATCATTCAATGTAACAAATAAATATTCCATATTTATCATCGCTTCTATATATTTTTTTGACTTATAACTGTGAATATTTATATAAATATCACCATTTTATCTATTTGACCCATATCATCAATGAGAACAATGAGCTGTCATCTCAATGGACGACGACTGAATACATGAAAAAATGGTATTGTTTCTTTCTTTCTCTCTTTTTCTGCTATCTATGGACGTAAACATTGACAGAACTTCTCTTTCTTTACATTGTAATATAGAAAATAATATGATAACTACGTTATTGGTCTTTATTACAATTCATACTTTAATAGTT